GTGCCACCAATCAATTAATTGAATTTAAATAATTGCAATTAATTGCCTTCACAATCAATTATTCGGTAGGCCTGCTTCAGATCGGTAGAAAACTTAACTAGATATTCAAATATTTCAGTTAAAGGTTTTTTAACACCAAACTCATTCACACGCTTTTCATTATCAGGTGATAATCCACAAAGAAAATTTACTTTAACATCTATATCATCTAAATTCTTGCCAATAGCAATAGCATATAGCTTTAATATTCACTTACAAAGCTATCACCTTGTGTGGGAGCTAGTATTTGTATACCCTTTTTAAGTTCTAAAACCAGAGAGCTTGGAGGGGATGACCAATCTACCCAATTAATAGTATCTCTTATAAACATATCACTAAACGATCCTTTCATTGTTATGTTTATTGCTAATATAATTATATCATATTTTTAATAGAAAAAATATTCCGAGTTTCTGGCAGAAGTTGGTTTAGTAAATTAACTCTATTCATTTTTTATATAGTTAGAAGATATTTCAATCAGAAAAAATTCTTTAGAACAATGTAATGCTGATTATCTCTGCTCTGGACTAGCATTGATTGGGTGAGATTTTAACAATTGTACCTGGTCTTCCAGACCCCCCTTCTAAATTTCTTTATAGGATAATGTGATAATGATTTATTTACACGGTCCTCCAAGGAACCATCTATTCGTTCATTTAATGAAGATATTAACTCATTATATATTTTTCTAAACTTTGCAGATTTAAAATCTGCCCTTACCTGATTCCCCTGTGGTACCTTCTTTTTAGGATGATAGCACTCAACTGTTTCAGAATCTTCAAATAAACTTGACTCGGATGAACTAGACTCGGATGAACTATTTATGAATTCTTTGCTACAATTGCAATACCTTATAGCAAGTAATTTACTTACATTATCCTTTAACCAGTCTATACATTTTTCTATATATTTTTCTAGTCGATTAACTTCCTTTTTAAGGTTTTTATGCCAGAAATAATAATCTTCTATTTTTTTTCTCGAGTGTTCTAATTTCCTCAGAAAGTGCTCTATATACTCCTGCATTCTGCTCATCTAGCCCAAATAACTGGATTATTTTCTCAATATATCTACTAACACCTTGCTCGCTAGGTGCACTATCAGATGAGTACTTTTGATCGGTTGCCATTTTCGTAATATTTTATATATACAATATCTTGGGTGAACAGAAAAATAAATTTAATAAACATCTAACTCATCTTCCAAGAAAATTTATTATTAGTTTTTATCGAAGATATAGAATGAACTTGCCTGATTATAAGGTTCTCCTCTTTTTCGCATATTGACTATAGTATATCTCTTGGATGGAGAAGCATGGTTATCAGGCGAATGTCGAAGGGCTTCACTGGCATAAGTGTTAGCCTTCGATGCATTTTTAGGCCCATGTACTACAGAAGCAAATACTGCCCCTAACTTGCGTAAAGAGCTAGGAAGTAGTAGTTTACCACTTTTAGGAATAAATTCGTCTTTTTTCAAAAATGTACTTAAGTACGTAGATCCAAGTTTTTCTGGATCCCTTAACTCCCCGGAAATGATTGCTTCCTGAATCCATGAAAGTAATTCTCTTGCCCGCTCCTTGTTCTTTTCCAGTGATCTAAACACTCAAGGAATATCTTGTTGACCTCGGTTTTTTGCATATCCAGTTACAGCCCCATTAGATATATGCAGGTTTTTAATTTCAGTGGGACGAATGCAGAGCATTATCATTACATCGGCTAGGGCTAGTTTATCGGGTATATTAGATACATCATATAAATTCAGTCTTTCTTTAACTGATTCTAATGAGAAGTGGTCTGGAAAATTGATCCCTTCATTTTCACATTGCTCGCTATGCTTCTTTTGGACTTTATTAGATAATCTGGTTACCTCTGGATTTAATATAACAGAAACTATTTTTTCTGAAGCATTGATGGCTCGCAATTCTCTTCGAAGCCTAGAGAGACGGGATAAGGCAACAACGGGATCAGGGGCAGTTTTGACTAAGTTTCTAGATATCGCTTTTATATCTTTTTTACTAAGTTTATCTTTCATAATACGCTGAGCTGTTTCTTTAATAGTCTCCCTGGAACAAGTACTATTAGATACTTGACATATATTCACTTCCTTGGCTTCTGTCCCACCTTCTTTGAGGGGCACTTGACTTTTGCATCGCCCAACTCTCTGGAGCGGAATCAATGCAAACGCCTGCTCTTTGCTAAAGTTATACCCTTTTATAAGACGATTACGAGCTTGGCGCCTTTTCTCTTTATCATCTGTTAAGAGGTTAAGTATTTCTGGTCGTATTGGCTAAGCTCTTCGAAACTCATCTCAGTAGTGAGTTTGTAATCTGTAACGAACTTGGTTGTAATAGTGGACATGATAAGGTATGTAGAATATAAGTGATAGTTAGATTAATCTTTCTTTGTCAGATTATATTATATAGATAAAGTTCAATTCGAAAAAAATATTCTGACAATTCACTATATGTGTATACTCTGTGACCCATTCATGATCGGTGAAGGCTAACAGAAGGCCGAGGATAATATATCTTAGCCAAAGACACTATACATGTAGTTTCAAAAGGACCCACTCTGATCAGAGAGAGTTTATATCGATTTGAAATTTGTAGGCAGATAGGATATGCAAAAAAAAAAATACACAGACATGGAACCCCATTTCAAGACTATAAATAAATTTGAATCATAATTGCATTTTAATCAAGTGCTCGCATTAGAGCTAATATATGTTCCGGTTCTAAAGTATTTGTCTTGGTAAATGCATCATATAAAGCGCCTGGTCTATGTTTCGAAGAAGTTAAATTCGGGTGATGGAGGAATTTCATGAGTACATTATTTCTCCAAGCTTTTGTCTCTTCATGTTCCCAATTTATTCCTATCAACATAGACAAGTTATCACTAGAATAGTTTATTTGGATTAGATTCTAGAGCGATGATTGTTTATTTTTTTTGATAGTGAATAAGCTTATCCCACCCTTAACGACAGATTCTACACTAATAGAAAGTTCTTACAAATATCTGATCTATTCACTATAATAAATAGGGGTGGAATTAGAACTGGGAAGAAGTCGTAAAAGGAGTTAAATACAAATTTATTACTGTCTTCTGAATAATTAGAAAGTCTGTTGGTATATTTATAACCTTTACAAATTAACTTCTGGAATAACCTTCCATTTGGGTCGATCCATCGACCAGTTAGAATGTTGAACACTCTTTTTTGCATCATGTCCATAGCATAAGTAAGTTCAGATGTTTAGTGTAGTAAGTAAAATATAGGTAATAGTTAGACTAATCTCCGTTTGTCAGATTATATTAGATAGGAAAAGTTCAATTTGAAAAAAAAATATTCCACCTGTGACATTGCATTTTTGAATATCTATAATAAAAGTGAAGATGAAGTTTTGAGATTATTAATATCAAAATTATCTCATATAGATCGTCTATCCTGCCAATATATCAAGAAAGATGGTTCGACTTATATGGATCGTTTATCCTGCCAATACATCAAGAAAGATGGTTCGATTTGTGAGAAAGGGTGCTGGCGTGCTTCAGGATATGCCATACACTATAAAACACATCCTAAAAAATTATGTCTTATCTGCAATAAGTTAACCAATTCTTATACCAGGATCTGTAGCTCACATGGCAAAATTTATAAGAAAGCCTGGCATGAAGGTAAAAAAGTTAAAATAGGATCAGATATGATAAAGACACCTAGCTAAATAATAATCTGGCCAAAGTATTATTTCCTTATCTTACAGAATTAAAGAGTTTCTGAATATCGTTATCTGTTTTTGGCCTATATGATGGAAGCTCTGGTGCATCTTTATCTCCAAAACTAGTACCGTTATATGGCTGGTGATTAATTTTGTATAAATATTTCCAAACCTGCTTTTCTCTAGAATCTATTCTTTTTTTATCACTTTTAATGGTATATCTATACCAATTACTAGCAATTGCATTAATTGCTTTTATAGCCGATTTAAGATCAGGTGTTTCCTTTGCACGAGACTTAAAGCCAAAGATTGGTTTCGGATCTCTATAAACCTTTTACAAGAATGTGTGAATGCTTCTGATACAATATTACTAGTAAGAGTGCGCATATCATCAATGCCAGTAAAGCCTAGCATTTGAAAAAGTTCCTGTATTGCCTCCCACTGTTTGGATAAATATGCCTTTTGTAAATCAATTGAAGAAGGATCTGAGGAATTATACGATTCTTCCCACTGTATAGCTTCTTTAGTTTTTAACTCTTCTAAGGCTTTTATTGCATCTGAACCTTGCCTTTAGAAATATGCCAGTTTCCTAAAATATTGTAAAGGTTCAGGATTATTAAATTTTTTTACAAAACTGGTATTGTATAGATTAATCCATTTGGCATCATCCATGCCCTAGTCCCGATTATCATCCTTACCTCCAATATCTCCTGAAGCATATATTCTCCACAAATAGTGTCATTGCAATATCATATTATCAGCAAAGGAGCATGTGAAAATTTGTTTAAAAACTTCAGCATTATCTGGGGTAATATCAGATGCATTGGCTATTAATTCTGCATCAGAACCTTTAATATTTTCTTCAACTGCTTTAATAGTATTAGAAATCATTTTCCTATCAGCTATGGTACTTTCTGCAGAAATAATCTCAAGTGAAGCTCTCGTACTAGAAACAAGACTGCAAAGAATTTCGGGAAAGTATTTAGCTGATAAGCGTCTCTGATATTCAGCTTCAATATATGTTTCAACTGCTGGAGATGCATTAAGAGCATAACAATCAGCAATTTTATCTCATTCCCGATGTTCTTTTACTGCTGTTGGTAAATCAATAGGCCTTAAAGCAGAAAGTTCAGCACGAATAAGATTACGATTTGGCTCTTGGAATACTTCGGAGAACTTTTTACTATGATATAAAGAAATGATACATTGTGAACAATCCCGAATTCGGTAAAGTATCTGTGCAAAGGCTTCGATATGTACTCCTGTTTTAATATTGCTAATCCCTATAATGGCGTCAAAATGTTTAGAGATTTCAAAAGAGATGCCAGCTTCTACAGTACTTGTGTAAATCACACAGTCAAGGGAACTCCAGGTAGCATTAATATTAGCAAAATCCTTTTGTCGTTGTATTGGCCAAAATAAACACGCGTTAAAATAAGTGAACCATCTGGTTTTTGCAATGCAAAAGCTTGGTTTGCCAAAGCTCGGGCTTTTTTACATAATGTCATTGCAAAAGCAACATGCTTACCTTTTCGAAGCATATTAAGACCCCTTCTTATAGCTTCTGAACCCTTTTCTAAATCATAAAGAATCTCAACAGTTTCGCCTATGCGTGGTTGATATTTATTATCAAAAATTCATATATCATTACCTTGATACTGTTTTAAGAAAGCTAAAGTAGAGTCATTCGCAAAAGCATCCATAGCTATAACATGGATAGCTGACTTTAACAAATCTCGCATAGCATTTTCAGATTTTTACGCATGGACTCCACTAAACATTTGGCGCATGATCGCATTGACTTCATCTAAAATAACTATATATAGTCGCCTTCCATGAAGCTCAATACAAAGTGTACTTTCAACCTGGACAATAATAATATCACAATCACTTATAGATAAACTACCTTCAACTTCTTGATATTGGCATACATAAAGACCCAAATTCTGTAATATTTCAACTTTAGATTTGGTCTTATTGCTAAGGGTTTTGCGATATGAAACCCAGATAAAGCAAGGAAAATCTTTATTTTCAGCTAAAGAGTTGAGAATTCCTCTTAAGGCTTTTGTTTTACCAGTACCTACAGGTGAACAAATAAGAGTCGTGCTATACTCAGAACCTAAGAAGTCTGGATAGGCTTCTGGAGCCTCTTCCATCTTTTTTACATAAATATCTTTTCCATATAATTCAGAGAATAAACATAAATTTTTTACAACATTAATTAATCTGTCATTTAATTCCTATTTAGGTCTTTCTTTCAGCCTAATTATACCTGATGCTTCCCCAAATGCTAATCCTTTATGATCAGGTTTATATTGTTTTTGCCGGTAGCATTTAAGTATAAAGTGCCCATTACTTCGAAGAAATCCATATAACTGATTCTTTTCATGTTTGATGTTGCAAATAGGGCATACTTCCAATGAATTCACTTGAAAGTTAACAAATCCCTTCCTAATGTCACCAATCTCAAGCCATTCATATTTTGCAATAACTAAACTGGCACCCTTGCTTAAGGCGGATTCATCTTCGATGGGTTGGAATTTATTCTTTTTTGGCTTTTCAGGAAAAAAGATTTGTGGCCAAATTTCAGAAGTATCTAATTTAGGCTAAACTAAATAATCTTCTAGCTTGCAATATCCTTTCTTGACCGAAGAAATTGCAGGTTTTTTAACTCTATTCTCTTTAGCTGATCCAAGAAGCCAAAGACTAAAGCAAGATTTATAGAGTTCTATATCAATAAATTCTGAGTATGGCTTCCCAACTCTATTGGCAACTTTTTTCACAAAACCCCTAAGATCTCTATAATCAATAAAACGGGCATAGGGGTACACAATATGCCAACTGCATTTACTAGCACTAGACAAACTGGCCAAGGAAAAATCATTTAAAGTTATAAGATGTTTTAAATCAAAATATAATATCAGCACAGGCAATTAAGATTCTGGATAATAAATCTTCATGAGAAATTTTATATTCATCTAAGGAAGGAAGTTTGGGATTCATTGGATCGGGTTTTGCCTTGTGTCGATGTCTAGAACGAGGCGAAGAGGCAAATTCCCATCAATGCATTCATGAGCATCAGGTAACTCATAAACTTCGGATGGGTGATTTATTACTGTAAATCCCTTATTTGCAACCCGAATAATATATTTATTAAAAATTTTCTCAAAATGATAAATATCTAGAAGAGTGACATCATCTTTATTATTAGACAGATATTGAAAGTATACATGATTATTATAACCAGGCTCAAAATCAAGGTCCATTAAACCAGAGAAGAGCCTAATTGCTTCATTTATTTCACTGGGGTCGGGCTCAGATTTTTTTTGTGAAAGCATGATAATATATATGGAAAAAACAAATATAAATCTACATAAAAATTCCAAATCTTTAAAATAAAAAATCATGTTTGCCAGCAAACTATTGTGGCAAAAGTAATCGATGTGGTAGTACCTAAAGTAGTGACTATGTGAGAAGAAATCCAAACATAGTATAGAATTGGTAAATTTGGTGTCCCCCAAAGGTAGAATTATATATAGTAAAAGAAATAAGAAATTATGCCTTTGGGGGATACGCCCAATTCACCTAAAACTCAGTACGTATATAACCCGATCATGAGCTATCAATATGAATGTGCAGACAGCA